TTTGCGCGAAATCCATAACAAACAAACAATCTATCATCTGTAATATCATAGTTTGTGTTTATTAAACGTTTCTATGTACTATGTACTAGCATTTCCACTGTGTGTTTTTCCTTTGGGAAGTACATACATATAAAAGTCAAGTTACTGTGTACACTTACTGTACTTTCTTTCCTCTAGATGCTGCCTAGAACACGACTGGTGTTATACTTACTCTGACTGTCCGCAACTGTTGATATATTTCGTGTCTTACCGATTTGAATGCGTCGCTCCTGGATATGCCCATTGTGGTGAGTATTTGTCTTTTTTTTTTTCTACTAACGAATATTTAATATTTATAGTGGTTTGAATCTTTTTGTGTTTTTGAGAATTGAAAAACAATACCTATAAACTAAGCTAATTACTTTATTAACAGTCCTGGCTCTCGGAAAGTTTTTATAGAATCACAAAACTAGATATATGGCAATCAAAACACCACAGTGACCTGAGCACTCTCGAAATATAGACTTTCTTTAAAATCAAGGATGAGTTGGTAATTTTCTGTAACACACAAAAAAAAGTCAAAGTTATGAATATTACATAATATTACATAAACTCTTTCACTACTACTGGTTCATACGTCTTCCCCTTTCGAGCTTGCCACTGTCATGTATGTGTGACACAGACTACTTAACTCTTTCATTACTACTGGTTCATACGTCTTCCCCTTTCGAGCTTGCCACTGTCATGTATGTGTGACACAGACTACTTAACTCTTTCATTACTACTGGTTCATACGTCTTCCCCTTTCGAGCTTGCCACTGCCATGTATGTGTGACACAGACTATAGCTTTTGTTTTAACCTTGAAAAGTGTGCTTAACCTCGTATGAATCTGAAACTTTGTACCACCATAAAGATAGTTTATTACCCTTCAAACGTACCAAAATTTATCAATTTCAAAGATAAGATACGTTTTGGATTTCGCGCAAAGCTACACGAGGGTTATCTGCGCTAGCTGTCCCTAAATTGGCAGTGATAGGCAACTAGTCAACACCATCCACCGCCAACTCTTAGGCTACTCTTTTACCAACGAATAGCGGGATTGAGCGTCACATATAACGCCCCTATGTCTGAAAGAGCGAATATGTTCAGTAACGGGGATTCGTACCCGCGAACCTCGGATGGCGAGTCGAGCGCCTTAACCACGTAAATAAATATTAAAGTGATGTCTTTTTTGTTTTTGGGTTTATTTTATATTTAACAATAAACCTGGCAATGAAGAGTTGCTTTATTTATAACCGTGACGACGAAAAGACTAGAGTCGATGTCGTCAGTTTTAATGTACAGAATTAAGTTGTCTACGCCTCTGGCGTCACGTGTTAATACGACAATAGAACCAGGTCAAAACTATTTACATTTCTTACGCTGTATAATTAAACAACGTTAAGTAGTTAAAAACCACGAATGAAGAATTTTATATGTTCACCGTTGGCAAGGGTAACTCGTCATATGAACGACAATAATTGTTCTAGGGACGAACCACTGTGACTAGGGATAATGGCAAGTCTGCTACTTTTGCTATTTAAATTGGGCCCGGCATGGTTAGGTGGTTAGGGCACTCGAGTCACAGTCTGTGGGTCGTGGGTTCGAATCCCCGTCACACCCAACATGCTCGCCCTTTCAGCCGTGGGGGCTTTATAATGTGACGGTCAATCACACTATTCGTTGGTAAAAGAGTAGCCCAAGAGTTGGCGGTGATGACTAGCTGCCTTCCCTCTAGTCTTACACTGCTAAATTAGGGACGGCTAGCGCAGATAGCCCTCGTGTAGCTTTGCGCGAAATTCCAAACAAACAAACTATTTAATCTTTCGTTCGATTTTATAACCTTGTAACTGCTAATTGAATGTAAGTCTACCTCGCAAATATTGAACACGTTACGGTTTGTGTTTTTATTTCCGAAAACTTTGCTGTGATCAATGTGTAAGTAGATTAAAACAAGAAACGTATATTGTGTTGTAAAAGACAGCGACTGATTACTTCAAGTAGTTAACTGGTGATACGTTGTCAGTGCATGTGATATTATCACCGTAATCTCATTTCAAGCAGCTTTGGAGAGTATTCCCCCGTAACTACGGTCTCAAGAAAACCTAATGAGGCTTTGACCTTTGACCCACTTAACTTAAAAAAAATGGCAGGACGTTTCTAGGGTGTGTCAAGGACAAGTCAATGTAGGGTGCCCTATATTTGGTCCAGCTGTACTATCGGTCTGTAATTTAATAAGTTCCCTCTCTTTTATTTGGATGTTAACAATATATATGAACTCAAAATATATTACAGAACCACACTAAAACTGATATATTTAGTAATGGTATTAAAGAAGAGCCTGATGTCCCAGCATGTTGTGGCGAAGAGCCCGAAGCGATAAAACGATTTAGAGTATAATATGGAGAGAAAAAAAAATGTCGGGAAGAAGATCCTGAAGTTTCAGAATATCATGGGGAAAAGCTCTGAAATTACAGACTTTTGTCGCGAAGCGTCTGAAATAACAAAACCTTGTGAGAAAGGGATAAAAAGTTGTGTGTATGTGGGTGGGGGGGAGTGTGAGATGTTAGAATCTTTTGTAAAAACGGGACATATTGTACTTGTGTGTAAATACCTGAATTGCCGAAGCCTACGATGTAATAATTACATTATATGTAAGTACATGAACTGTCGAAGCCTGCTAATGTAATAGTTTGTATTGTGTGTAAATACCTGAACTGCCAGAAGTCTGTTTATGTAATAGTCACATGATATTTAAATACATGAATTGCCGAAGCATACGATGTAATAATTTGTACTGTGTGAAAGTACTTGAACTACCAAGCCTATTAATATTATAATAATACTGAAAAGGTTTAAAAATATATCGTTTACACATTACACATTATTACTGTATTTAGTATGGAAATGTCGTTACTTGAAGTGAGCTGTTAACGATAATTATCCACACGAAATAAGTTTACGCAGATACAGATACGACAAAGAAATAGTTCTTAATTGTTTATTTATAAATAATTCCAAAATATAATGATTATTACACTATATAAAACTTTTGTGCAATTTTTATGCTAGAATTTGGTGTTCAATCCCAGTAGTTGGAACAACACAGAATACCAATTGTGAAGCTTTATAGTTAATAACAAACAGACATTTTTGTTTTTTTACAAATCCTCACCATTTGCACCATATACAAAATAATTCTTATATCTAACTCACCTTCCGCTAACCAAAAGTAGAGAGAGAGAGAGAGAATCAAATTGGTATAAGCTTATCTGTTAACTTGTCAATGATCAAAGTGTCAAATATTGTAATATTAAAATACTTATGTTGTATTAAATGTTACGTAACTTATGATAACGTATAAATATCTTTTGAAAACTTTCAGAGAATGACCACTCCATGTCCACCGACTGTGCTGCTCAACTCTGTGAATGTGACAGAGTTTTTGCTCATTGTGTGAGTAAATATTCCTGTCCCTCGCATCGTGCGACCTGTTTGTCTTAATCGTCATCACTGTGTGAGTAAGTATTCTTGTATCATGGGACCTGTTTGTCTTAACGGTCATCACTGAGTAAGTATTCTTGTATCGTGCGACCTGTTTGTCTTAACCGTCATTACTGAGGAGGATATTCTTCAACCTGGTTCAAGATCAGGGGGTAACAGAACAATATGTCTCATCTGGAGACTGGTGGTAGTGAGACAAGACCGTTGAATCAGTCATACACAGTGTTAAAAACCATAGTGCTCCGGGTAAATCTTTTATCAAACAATATGTCTCATCTGGAGACTGGTGGTAGTGAGACAAGACCGTTGAATCAGTCATACACAGTGTTAAAAACCATAGTGCTCCGGGTAAATCTTTTAGCATCACACTTTCTTAGCAGCACAGTAGGCGATTAACGTCGATACTGACTGTGTTACTGGATCTGGTGGCAGGTTAATGAAATCAGAATCTCATGTAAGAAATGTGTGTTTTTTCTTTGTAATTGTCGTTAGAAGAGCATGGGATATATGGGATATATATGTTTTGTTTTATCTCAATCTATACCTAACGGAACTTAACGCGTTAGTATTATGCACAAAAACAAAATTGTTGTTTCAAAATATTTAAATATAGAGGAATACATTGTTGACACTTTTTTTGTTTACAAAGATAGTATCAATATTCAGTGTCTTATTCTGGCTATCTGATATCTTCCTTTTTCAGTATTTACTATCGAGAAAACTGTTTTGTAAAGATGCAACAACAGCCCAGAAACTCGTTTAAATACCAACATGAAAACGATCTATTTGTATCTTAAGAAAGCACTAATATAATCTTAGTTTAGTTTTATTTTCTGCCAGTTTTTAAGATATTCATTTTAATAGTTAACTTCTTACATACATTCAAGTGAATAGAATCAACATTTCTGTTCAATCACACAAAAGAAAAGCATTAAAAGATAGATGGCAAAATTCTATAAACATCGCGGAGAGCTCATCAGGAGTTGACCCATTTTCCGCCATTTTTGTCCAATCACACGCACACAAAAAGAACATACACATACATAGACGCTCTGAGTGTAAAAAACGAAGTTAGTACGTTTCCAGCTCCGCATGTTGTGTTTACGAAAGTTATAAAATGCAAAACGTTTTTTTTTTTTTTTCGTTTTACAAAGATGACGTTTCGAACAAACAACCTCTCTGGACATCGAGATGCGAAATGACGTAGCTAGATCTGACGATGGGCCGTTACTTAAAACGTTATTTTTATAATATAAATATCCTACTTACAGATTAATAAAACCTTTCTCAAAAAACACAGATCATTGTGTCGTATAAGCAGTTTTGTATGTTTTGTAATTCTTATTTAGGAATTTGCCAACACAATTCGAATTGCTGTGGCTTTATTCTGTCTTGTATACAAAACTAGTCAGTTCCCCATTACCTACAATGAAAAATTGATACTTCCTAGTAGTAAGTAATAGTTAGTCATAAAGAAGTGAAAAAAAAATATTGTTTCTGTTCTTGTACTTTTTGTTTTTGCAAAATAATATGTAACAAGGAAGATCTCAAACGTTAACATGCCAGTATGCGGTGCGTTAAGTAAACGGACGGACGTTAACATGGCAGTATGCATTGAGTAAACGGACGTACCTTATTGTCGTTATATATGATTTGAGAAGTATTTTTTCTTCATTAGACAAGTAAAAAAATGTTCATTTGTGTTAGGCTAAATATTACGAAAGGGGTGATTTAAGGCAGAGTGCCGTCGTAGCTTTGCTTTGTTAAAATTTGTAATTTTCTAAGTAAAACATTACAATATAAAAAGTGTGGAAATAAATTACAATTCAGGCTGACTGAAACGTAATTTGAAACAAAAACCACCACATGGAATATATATAACACGATACGTAGATAAAGTGGATGTATCTGTTATCTGTACGTCAATTTTTGACGCTTACACTTTTTGACCGATCTCAACGAAACTTGGCATGTATCCATAGAGCCCCCAGGAAAGTGTCACAGAGGATGAACTTTCGGATCTGACCAATGGGGGTCTCTATGTGTTCCCAGTGCTATTCTTTTGATCTCTACCAAACTTCGAAAGCAATCTTAGGATACCCCAGGAGGGTTGGCGTTCCGATCTGGCTCATTATGCCCCCCCCCCACCCACACACACACCCGAGGGCCACTGTGTACCTTCTACTTTTTCATTGATCTCTACCAAACTTCGGAGGCACCCTTAGGGCACCCCGGGGACTGTCAAAAGGGATTGTCGTTCGGACCCTCTATGTCACTCCCTTGGAGTCCTCATATGTTCCCCATGTGTTGAACGGGTACATCAGCTAGTGTAATTATGATTTGATAAAATGAAATATAGTTAGAACTAATAAATATTTTTTATGATGTGGTAGTTGTCTTTAACGCTGCTTTAGTATAGATTACATTTATCTTAAATATTATGTGAGTAGACTACCCCATATTTGCTAGCCGTTAATTGTTTTTGGTTAATTATTTGTTGCTGATATTAGATATTATTATTGTTGTTAGGTTTTTTAATATAATTTTTTATTACTACTTAAACAATTTTGTAAGGTATTTTCTTATCCAGGATAACAAGGTCTGAGTAGTGTAAACTATCGTAAATCGTGCTAACTTGATAAGGCTTAGTTAGCCCTAATAATATCTGGAGCGAGTATACAGGCCTACATCCAACACTATTGAAAGTATAAATTGTTCACTGAATTTTGAAACCTTCAACAAGTCATGGGTTTTGATTAGTTTTGAAAGTCTGTAGTAATTTAGTGAGATTTTTTATCGCGCACATTTACTTTCATGAGATACTTTGTTGAAAGCGTTGAAGCATCAGGCTTAAACATACAACACATTAACTAAAGCAGATACTAAGTAGGCCTAATAAGTTTACCTTCTTTATTTCTATGTTTCAGTTACAATTAGCCTATCTAGCCCAACCCAGAAAGTATGGTAAAAATTGAGATTCATAATCAGTAAATCAATTATTTCTTTTTTAATGTTCAGTTTTCTCGCGGCACTTGCTTGTCACCCCCCTCCAAAAAAAAAAAAAAGAAGAAAGAAATAAAACTAGTAATGACGATACAGTTGGAATTATTAATTTAATTTTTGTATCTAGCATTTTCAGTTTCAGTTTATCAAGTAGCTCGATGAGCACGTTCAAGTTAGCACCAATTGTTTTATATTTAATGTTTCTTTTTACACATTGCATACCTAATTATTGGCGTCATTGCATTTTATTTCGGAGGGGGGGGGGTGGTTCTTTAAAGTGATGTCTCTTCCTTTTCTTTACTTTATTAACTTTATTATATTACTTTATTATACACTTAAAACTTTACGTAATACGCGAAATTGCTTTTAGGAAGTGCAAGTAAGTAACATCACTTCAAGAATGAGTAAGTCAAATAACAATGTACAGATTATCTTAGTACATGAACCATTAGTAACATGTAAGCTTCCATTTTGCAAGTATAACAATCCATGCAGGATGTACTAGACAATGGAGTTATAGCCTGTGAAGGATATTGTACCAGATAATGGTGTTATAGTCCATGTAGACAGTTGTACCAGATAATGAAGTAACAATCCATGCAGGATGTTGTATCAGACAATGGAGTAACAACCTATGCAAGCTCTTACTTTTTTCTTACAAAAAAAGAAAAGAAAAATGTGTTGTTAATTATCCCAATCTGAAACAACACGATAACACACGTACTTCCTCTCGGATAAATTAACTTTTGCCTTGCAATTCAAAACGTAAGCACTGAATAATTTCCTCAAAAGTGCTGTTTAAAATAATTTTTGCGATAAGGAAGTGTAAACTGCATTGCTATGTGTTAACTACATTACATGTAGGCGAGCTGCATACCTAACCTCAAAGTTCAAGAAATACTGTAAGTTTTCCAGAACGTCCTAGTTTATCGTGGCCATTCAAAATACTGACACAAAGACTGGTTTGTTAAAAAGAGTCAAGCTCTTTTGTATGCATTCCTGCATGAAAACACAAAAAATATCGAAACAACTCACAAACTGTGAATTATATGTAGCCAAAACTACTGTTTAGTGTGGTCTATAAACCACGGGTAAGAATACTGAAAAAAGGGATGCTTAAAATCATTGAACAAACTAAAATATACATTTTCACAAATTAAAGTTTTAAGTTTGCTGAAGTTATAAGTGATAATAGAACATAAGCTTTAACCTTGGATCTGTAATTATGCCGGAAATGTACTTTCTAAATAATAAACGAACGTTGTTTTTTTTTTTAATTCTACTAATTTGTGAACTGTTTTAGTGAATTTTTATTCTATCAGTAAGCCTTGTATAACTGCCAGATAGCTAATCTTTTGTTTTATTGTTGTAAATTGTTAAGCAAATATTATTGCCTACAGATGTTAATCACTAGTGAATATGTAAAGTGTTCTTTTAAAAGTAAGTGATTAGGCAATTGAAGTCAATCTGATCGTGTTTTTTTTTTCCAAATCAATCACATGTTTTAGGTTGTGTGTTGTTGATAAAAACATTCGTCCGTAATCAAAGAATGCTTGTTAGAAATGTTTAAACTGATGCTTCAGGTAGCATGTGACTGTAATATAATTTTAGCGCAACACAAAGTATTCTTAAAACCACTACAGGGTCTGTTTGTATATTGAATATTATCTTTAATTAAAAATATATTCGTAATGTTCATCTAAGCTATCTCTATCAAATGTTTTAGTAAAATGTAGGTTTAACCATTTCTTATCGATTAGACTGAGAATATACTCAGCTAAATTAGAGGTATATACACTTAATTATATAAGTATTAACTGTTATTGCTATTGTGAAATTTTAGAAAATTAAGTTATGATGTCTTTGTAAAATAATTATACCTGCAAAAGTGACTTGTAAAATCAGAAAAGATTGTAATAAAATGTACAAAACAACAAAGAATACTGTTATTTTAATAAATATTTTATTTGTTGAAAGTATCAATGACTGTTATTTCTGGGATTTGTACATTTAAGTTGAAATAGTTAAATAGTTTGTACAGATATTTATTATCTTCAGAAGAAAAAACTTGATTAAACAGCAAAAAAAAAAAAAAAATTCTGAGACTGCTAAATGAACAGGGCAAAGACCCCAAGGCTCAACCACGACC